AATTCTTACCAATAGTTCCTATACCATGAATTTTACCTTTTGAGTCATCTCCAAATAATACAGTACTTCCCTTTTTCTTGTCCAGCTAAGCAAACAATATTTCATTTCTAGTCATGTGTCTTGAGCAGCCACTGTCCATGTACCATGGTTACTTCTTTTTTAGTTGAGCTCTTGAACATATGTCTTTTCAGTTAGGCTCAACCTGCAAGATAGATTTTTAGTTTTTCTTAACAGATACCCATACCTTGATGGGTCCTTAAAGGTTAGCTGCTACATAAGATCTTTTTGGAACCCAAATCCTTTTTGTTTTTTGCATGCTTCTGTTTCTATAACAATTATAAGATAGGTGACCAAGTTTATCATAAATATAACACCTAGGAGAAACATTAACTGAACTTTTCTTGAAATATGTGTTTCTTCTTGATGTTTCATTTCTTACATTCTTAAGAGTAGTATTTTCATTAATAGCTTTTTGCAAAGCTTCAGTTTTATTTTTCAATTCTTATTTCAGAATTTCATAATCTGTTTTTGAGTTTTCTAGTTCAATTTGAAGTAAATTTCTTTGTTCAAAAACAGAGCAGAAATTATGTTTTACCCTTTCTAAATCATTCATTTTCAAGAGATTAAGTCTTTCTTTTCAAAGCTTTACATTTTGATGCAAGTTTTTCATACTTATCATAAAGACATTCATATTTGTCTTGAAGTTCATTAATAGAAATATCACAAGAAGCAGAACATACCTCAGATTCATCATCTCATCAATCATAAATTTGCTCTTTCTTCCACTTTCTCTTCTTTAGCATTTGAGCTTGAAACATCATTGTTTGACTAGGTTGCAGCCACCATTGCCTTCTTCTACTTTCTATTTTTCTTAGGAGTTTCTTCCTTCAGTAAGGGGTATTCTAACCTGAAGTGTCTCAGCTTATTGCATTCAAAGCATATAACCTCTTTTTTTTTGTTGGATTCATTTTTATTTCTGGCTTTCCATAAAGAACCTTGATCTCTTTTGTACCCTTTCTTAGCCAATCTCCTATCACTTTGCCCCATAAGTTTTCTAAATCTTCTTGCTATCATAGCCAATTCTTCATCATCATCACAGGATAAGTTGTTCAATTCTTTTTCAAGAATGCTAGCTTTTAAGGCAATGCTTTTCTTCTTTTCTTCTTTTCTTTTTCTTTTCTCTTGTTTTCTTCTTCCTCGTCCTTAAGCTCCAGCACATGAGTGAGAAGAGACCCATAAATTTTATCAAGTGTGATGACATTTAAGTCTTTGGCTTCACGAATAGCAGTCACTTTTGACTTCCAATTTTTTAGTAGGCTTCTAAGAAGTCTTTTGACAATTTCATGTTCAGGAATTGATTTGCCTAGCTAACTGAGTTTATTGGTGATGTTAGTGAACCTATCAAGTATGTTGGTGATATCTTTACCAGGTTTCATCTTAAACATCTCATAATTGTGGGTTAAAAAAGCTATTTTGGACTCCTTAACTTGAGGAATTTCATCATGGAGAATTCTAAGTTTGTCCCACATTTGTTTAGTTATGGTACAACTTAACACTTTGTTAAACTTAGTAGGAATTAGGGCACTGTGTAAAGTGTTTGTTGCCTTAAAGTTTGTCTAGACTCTTTTGGTTTCAGCTTCAGTCCATTCAACCCTTGGCTTGGGAATCGTTTCATTTGTCACTACATTTATGGTTGAAGGAATGAAGGGTCCATCAGTGATGACATCCCACATTTCATAGTTTATTGCCCTTA